GGGGGGGGGGGGGGGGGGGGGGGGGGGGGGGGGGGGGGGCTCAGGGGCTCGTCTGCATCTCCCTCCAGGAACCTGTGGAGTCTGCTGAGCCCTCTGCCCCTCTGCTGGCCCCTTGTGCCTTCCCCTCCCTCCCTGCATGCAAGGCCCCGGCCTCCCCTCCTGTGCTCCACCATACTACCTCCTCCACAGCATGTCTCCCAACAGCCTGAAAACCAAAGCTGCTCCCTCCCCAGCTGCCTTCCCCTGTGGCCCAGGCCAGGTGGGGCCATTCCTGCACTGATGGTACCACAGGTGACAGCTGGTTTTGTTTGCTGGGACTGGCTCTGGACCACAGGCTCTCCAGACACGTCCAGTCTGTGCCTCGCAGCAACTCCATGGGGAGGTGTCATTTGTACTGCCATTTACAAAAAAAAGAAACTGAGGCACAGGGGAGTTGAGTGACCTGTGCAGGGTCAGGCAGCTCAGCCAGACGTGGGATCCTGCCAGACCTGCCTCATTCTGTCCTCCAGCCGCTTGGCCCCAAGCCCTGTTCTTCTGAGAGCTGGTGTCTGCCCCAGCAGCCTGAGTCTACACTTGCTCCCCTCTCTTCTGAAGGGTATTTCCCTTGTCTCTGAATGCCATGCTGGGGGAGGAGGGGAGAGAGCAGCACTGAAGATGCCAGGAGATGCAGCTAAAGAGGCTGGAGCCCTGTCAGGCAGGGATGGATGGGCCGAGGGAGAGGCTTAGTCCTGGAGGAAGGGTGGGGACAAGTTTCACAAGGGCCTGAGATGCAAGTTAGATTGACTGTCAACATCAGAGACAGTGACACACAGTGAGGCCATGACCACAGGGATACAGTCAACCCAAAGCTGGAGAATCTTCACTTTACCTACATTTGACTTGTGATAGAAAGAGGCACATGGCAGTAACACATGCTGCTGTGTATTTTAAGCAGGGTGTGTGGCATGCTTCTGTGGTCCTGGCCACTTGGGAGGCTGAGGTGGGAGAATCAAATGAGCCCAGGAGATCAAGACCAGCTGGGTAGCATAGTGAGACCCAATCGCCAGCCGAACACACACTCACCCTTAAGATATCTGTTCAAATGAATGACAAGCAAACTGAGGGTGTGTGACCCTGCAGGGGGCTTGAATCCAGCCTTTCCTTCCTCTGTGTTGAGCCCCTTGATGGTGTGAGACCCCAGGGTGCTCCATTCACTGGAGTGAGAAACCAGCGTGGTGGGAGGAGACAGACCTTCGGACCTTCGCACTGCATGTGTGCTGTACTTCTGGGGGGGTTCTGTGCTGGTCTTGGGCCCTGGGACAGCTCTTCCCAGCAGGGAGCTCTCTGTACTTGCAGTCCCTCGGTGCCCCGTGGCCAGGCGCAGGGTACTTTGAAACAAGACCTGGCCTTACATCAAGGTGAGCTGGCCTTGGCCAGTGTCACGCTAGCCAGATAAATGCACTGGTTTTTAAACCCGGCCTCACGTTCCTGGTGGGGTGCAGGAGGACTTTGGGCTGATGAGCGTTTGCTACCGCCTTTGCCAAAGGTCAATTCGCTCATTCATTCGACAGATGTTGGTTGAAATTTCGCTTTGTGCCCATCCCTGCAGGGGTGGGGGAGAGCAGGGTGCAGGGCAGGCCAAAATCACTCCTGGACGCAGAGCAAGTCAGGCACACTTAGACGGCCAGCTGGTGGCAGACAGTGGCAGATGTGGAGACTCATGAGGAGAGGAGGAAGCAGCAGTGGGGCAGCAGAGCCTGGGGAGGGGAGGCTTGCACTCCAGGAGCTCTCGGGCTTGCACTCCTGGAGCTCTCAGGCTTGCACTTCCAGGCTTGCACTCCCGGAGCTCTAGGGCACACCAGCCGCTGTGGGGCCTGCACTCCGCTCTCCATGACCCCGTGACTGTGAGTGCCAGCCACCAGCCAGCACAATCCGTCTGCCCAGTGCTGGGGCTCCTCTTCACAGGGCTCTGTCCACCTTGAGCCTGGTGGGGACTAGTGGTTCCTAGTGGGTTCCTTAAGGGTGACGTGTACACTGATCACCAAGCCAGAGGCACCTAGCGAATGGGAAGCCATGCTGTACCTACCTGCCCAGAGCTGCTCTTGGACGGAACCTGGGAGGCTGTTAGATATCACTCTTGCAGGTGTCCTGCACATGTGTAAACTTGAAAAACCAAGAAGTGAAAGACAAATGTACAGCTGTAAGGCACCAATAAGAAGTATGGGGAGAAGGACTGGACGGCACATGCGTGGGCATTTGTGTCCTAGATTTGTTTTAACCAATAGTGATCCTGGTGGAGGTTCCATTTCCATGCCTGTGAGGTTACCTTGTCCTCTTAACGACTGCACAACATTCGTAAAATCAATGCTGCAAAGTAGATCTCATTTGTTCCCCACCAACAGAAGAGTAGGATGTTTTTATTCTTTTTACTGGTATGAGCAGTGCCTTAGTGAACACTCTTGAATCATCATCATCATCTTCTTCTTCTTCTTTTTTTTTTTTTTTTGGTGCTGGGGATTGAACCCAGGGGTGCTTAAACATTGAGCCTCATCATAGCCCTTTTTATTTTTTTGTTTTGAGACACAGTGTCACTAAGTTACCTAGGACCTCACTCAGTTACTGAGGCTGGCCTCAAGCTTGTGATTCTCCTGCCTCAGCCTCCTGAGTATCTGTGATTTCAGGTGGGCACATGGCACCCAACTGAGTCTGTTTTGACTCCCTGTGGAAGTGTGTCTGCAGGAAGTTTTCAGAGCCGGCATTGTTGGATCAAAGGCATCGTGCGTTCTCAGTCTGAGGGACTCCGGGCCAGGCTGCTCTCCATCAAGATCGTGCCAGTTGCATTCTCAGCAGTGGGAGGGGCTTGCTCCACAGCTCGTAGCTTGGCTGGCACGCCACGTGCCCTTTGCCATTGCCACAGCCACAGCGGCAAGCTCTGGTGCAGGCTTCACTGCCGCCCTCCCGCAGGTTCAGATGTCTGTGCTGTGTGCTCCTGATTTGATTTTGTAGTACCTCCTCTTCCCACAGGACTCTCCCCTAGTCTGTCTTCAGGAACACGAACCCGCGTGTCCTTATTACTCAGCACATGCTGAGGCCCCAGTGCCTGATTCCCTGGGATGCAATGATGTGTAACGGGTCCAGAGACTGCTTCCCAAAAGTCATTCAGAGGCCTGCAATACTAGACAGAGTCCAGCCCTGACCTGGAATCTGTCCTGTAGCTAAGAGAGAGAGGATGCCAAGGGAGAGGCAGGTGTGCACAGCTGCAGCAGAATGCCAGGGTGGGGAGAGGATGGTATCGGGGTGCCCTGCTGGCTCTCAGCTGTCCTGGTGAGGGGTGAAAAGGAGAGCCTGGCCCCTGGGGTCGCCCTGCAGTCTGGAAGTTGGGAAGGAGCCCCAGCAGCTGCCCCACTGAGCCGCCTTCTGTCTTCCAGCTGCTGTTGGGTTTCTGGCCGTGTCCAGTGTTGTCACCATGTCTGCCCCTTTCTTCCTGGGGAAGGTCATCGATGTCATCTATGCCAGCCCCACCATGGACAGTAGTGCCAGCCTGACCGACCTCTGCCTGGGGCTGACCTGCGTGTTCCTGTGTGGTGCAGCTGCCAATGCCGTCCGCGTCTACCTCATGCAGTCTTCAGGTGGGTCTCAGGCAGCGAGTCTCCAGAGAGGCCAGGGGCCCACTGAGCCAGCCCAGCTATTCTTCTCTGCCAGCATCACATTCAGGGCCGCAGATCCCAGTCAGCCAGAAACGACGTTGGAGTTGCCGTTGCTCCAGCGCTCTCTTCTTGACTCTGTTTTGCCTAGTTGGGCTCAGCAGTAAGGGAAATGCCATGTGGGTCTTATAGGAGGTTTGAGAACAAGGCCCTTGGCTGCAGGTTGGCTTTAAGGACGGCTCCCTGCTTTCTGCTCTGTGCTATGTAGTGGCGGGGGCAGCAACTTTGCTGTATTTCTTCTGAGTAGTCTAGTTCTTAGCAGGCAGGAAAACACCCAACGCCGATGCCAGGGCACTGCCTCTAGGGCTGTTGTGCCGCTCCGTTAATAAAACACTGTGTGGATAATTCACTAGTTCTTGCACCGGAAGCTCAATTCAAAAGAGGTGCCAGGAAGGAGAAAAATTACCTTTTAAAGATCAGTGTGATCACCAGGTGTGGTGGGGCACACCTGTAAACCCAGTATCTGGGGAGGCTGAGGCAGGAGACTCACAAGTTCAAGGCCAGCCTCAGCAACGTAGAAACCCTGACTTAAAATGAAAAACTACCAACGACAGGGATGTAGCTCAGTGGTAAAGCACCTCTGGGTTCAAACTTCAGTACCAAAAAAAAAATAAGAAAAAGGGAAAGATTTAATGTCCTCGAGCTTCTTCATGATACTCTCTACTCACCTCCCGTCTCCTCATCAGCAGCACTGTCCATCCTAGGAGGAAGTCAGTGACGGGCTGCGTGCAGCCATAGTGCCCTCCCGGTGATGGGCAGCACACTGAAAGCCCTCATGGGCAGCCCCACTCTAGCCCTCCTGGTGACAGGCAGCATGCTGAGAGCCCTCCAGGTGCTGGGCAGCACTCTGAGAGCCCTCCGCTTGCTCCACAGGTCAGCGCATTGTGAACAGGCTTCGAACCTCGCTGTTCTCCTCTGTTTTGAGGCAGGATGTTGCTTTCTTTGACAAGACTCGCACAGGAGAATTGATCAACCGCCTGTCCTCAGACACTGCGCTCCTGGGGCGCTCGGTGACTGAAAACCTCTCAGACGGGCTCAGGGCTGGAGCCCAGGCCTCAGTTGGCATTGGCATGATGGTAGGTGGGCTTCTCCTGAGGACCTGCTGGCTGGGTGGGCTCAGCTGGGCCAGGTCTCTGCATCCTGACAGGTGGAGGCCAGCTGTCCTGGAGGCTGCAGTGACGGGGTCTCCTCTCCCATTGGGCTCCCTGCATCTCTCCAGAAGCTCCACAGAACAGCCCCTCTCGACGTTGCTAGGTTTTCTGAGCATGCGGGAGCCCTGGCAGCCCAGCAGCGGGAGGCAAGGGAGCTGGGCCTGTGGGGGTAGACCCGATTCTGCATGGTGGCAGCTGTGCTTCTGCGAGGGGCTCTGCACCCCTGGCTGTGCTGTCCTTGGTGGCTGGCTGGACCTGTCTAGTTGGCTCGCCTCACTTTCAGCCAGTGTTTGTTCTCAGACCAGCACAACGGGCCTGATGGCTGTGGCTCAAGCTGTGTCCTGACCTCAGTGTTCTGACCACGCTCAGAAAAGCGAAAGGACATAGGGCTGATGATGATGGTGTCTGTTTAACAGTGTGAATGACTGTTATCATCTTGACGTGTAATTCCTGTCACAATCACTAGTGAGGAACTGTATTTTACTTTTTTCATATTATAACTCCAAGCTCCATGTGTGTTTTCCACTTAAGTAACATCTCGATATGGGTGCAGAATTTTCCTTGGCAAGGCCTGATCCAGCTTTAGATTTCCTAAAATTTGCAAGTGAAACAATAGTTTGACATGTGGAGGGTTTGCAGGCATACTTGAAAGCTTGCCAATCACTGGAGTATTGATCTTAATCAATCCTAAGTGAAATTAGCAGTTCAGTTTTCCTGCCACACCTGCCGCAGTGCACGGGCCCAGGGCCACCTGAGGCTCTTGTTTGACGGCAGTTTCTGAATGGGCGGTATCTGAATGGGGGGCTGAGGGCATACCCTTTAACGCTTTCTCACAAGAAGAAGAGTTTTGGTCTTGTTCTGTATTCCACGTAGCATCGAGGATTGGAAGGACCTGTTGCTAGCATCTACCTGCTAGATCTGATGTACAGGACGGAAAAGAGCTTTGAAGTGTCATGGTTTTATAGCTGCAGGAGAAATAGACCCCGGGAACATATGCCTTCCCACACTCAAGTGCCTTCATGGTCCTGGGGCTCAGGAGAGGGCAGTTGGGGAAGCTCTGTACTGTGAGGGAGAGTCCAGTGTAGTAGGAGTCCTGTGTGAAGGGCCTTCCCCCTTCACTGGATGCCATAGCTGAGGTCCACAAGCTTAGAGAGCAGACATGTGTTTCTTGTGGTCTGGAAGCTGCAATTCCAGGGTCAGTCTGAAGCTTCTTCCCTTGGCCTGTCAGTAACCAGCATCTTGCCATGTGCTCATAGGAGAAAGCTGCCCCTCCTGGCAAGCATGCTTCCCTGACGTCTTTGGGCCTTAGTTACTTCCTCAGGCCTCATCTCCAACCCTGGGGTTTAGGGCTCCCACACAGGAGTCTGGGGTAAAAACAAACTTCCAGCCACAGTGGTCCTCTTGTGGAGCATCATTGGGATCTGTCCTCAGCTCTGGAGGAGTGGTGGGCTTTGATCCCCCTGCACAGGGCTGGGGTCCACCCCCTGAGAGCGGATATTGCCCACACCACCCTGCCATTTCCTCCCTGTGTGAAAATGTGTGCTCTGCCCTGGAAAATGCCCCTTTCTGGTGCTGGGACCCTGGTTAGGCAACAGAAGGACATTTATTAAGCCTGGATGCAGAAGAAGGTGGGAGGGTGGTCTGGGCTCACCCCAGTCCTGGAGAATCCCGGGGGCCTGTGCCTCTCTACCTGGAGGACACCATCAGATGTGAGCTGCTCCCTGAGCCGAGTACCTCAGGGACCTGTGAGCATACTCGCTCCTCCTCAAGTCCTGTGTCTTGCTTGGCCCTGTGGTGGAGAGGCCTCCCAAGACCGGTGGCCCTGGACATGTGCCCCTCTTCCTCCTCATCATCCAACTCCCACGTGTGGGCCAAGCCTCTGTCTAGCGCCTGGGTGCTGCTCGCTGTGTGAGCACTTGGCAGGAGTTTCCCCTGAGAGAAAAGAGCCGATTGATGGATCTGCTCATTATTTTCCCGTCAGTCCCTGGTGTTCCCTGGGACAGTTAGGAGACCTGCTTTCTGTGCAGATGGGACCTAGTGGGTTCTGTCATGTGCTGAGCAGGCACTAGTGCCCCTTCACAGGTCACTGGATTGCAGAGTTGACAGAACACCTCTGCCATGCACAAAAAAGGTGGCATTCTCCCTGCTGGACGCCCATCTGCCCCCACTTTTGGACCCGCTGCCCTGACATGCCCGGATTGGCCTGAGCACGAGCATCTCATCTTTCTCCATTGGCTCTGTGCCACTTTACTTCTGCGTAGCACTCATGGGGTTTTATAAAGATTAAAGAGGTCTGAAAAGCTCTCCCAAGACAGGCGGCCTGGCCTGGGGATAGCGCTATCAAGCCGCTTCCCTGGCACAGAGCAGGGAAGACTACGGCTCTGCCTAACGAGCACCCCCACTTTTCCCACAGTTTTTTGTCTCACCTGCCCTGGCCACTTTTGTCCTGAGTGTGGTGCCTCCGATGTCCATCCTTGCAGTGGCTTATGGGCGATACCTGAGGAACCTATCCAAAGCCACACAGGACTCTCTGGCACAAGCCACTCAGGTAACGGCCTTCCCGTGCTATGGTGTCCAGGGGAATAGGCTCGGAGCAAGGACCACAGGACACAGCTCTCCCTTTCCTCACGTCAGACCCTGCCCCAAACACAGCCTCTGCGGTCATTGCACCGCGTCACAGAGCATGTCCAGCCTGACCTGACACTGTTTCACTCTCTCATGTCTTGCTATTGCTGTCTCTGACAGGGCCAAAAAGCTAGTCATGTTCTAGTAATAGTTTCTAGACCATACTGTGCCCTCCATTAAGTCAATAAGCAAGCTCTAGAGTGCTGTGTGAAACCAGGTTTGCAAAAAATGAAAATAACTTGATATTTTCACATTATAAAGCCATGCTTGCTTATCATTGGAAAAATGTGAGAATATGAGAAAAGACAAAAACGTGGATAATCCTGCTTCAGAATTAATACCATAAGTGTTTTGAAGTCTGTCTTTTTACCTGCATAAGCCTGTGTGTCATCTGCCTGTTCTCTGTCAATCATCTGGCTCTGTCTGTCTGATGTGCTTTTCAACAGTGGGGTGGTTTGTGTACTTGGCCCTTTCCTGACCTAGCTGGGTTTCATGAGTGTCTTTCCATTGATAGTGTTTTAAATAAGAATCACATTTTGCTTCTGCTTCTAGACTCAAGTGTGCCCCTTTTCCCTGTAATGCACCTGTGTCCCTGCAGCTAGCAGAGGAGTGCATCGGAAATATCAGAACTGTGCGAGCCTTTGGCAAAGAGGTGGCTGAGGTGGAGAAATACTCTCACAGAGTGGACCATGTCATGCAGTTGGCAAGGAAGGAGGCCTTTGCTCGGGCTGGCTTTTTTGGAGCAGTAAGTGGGTCATTCTGGAAGGAATGGAAAGTCAGGTGCTAGGATTGTGAGAGATCTTTATTCTGTGGCTCTTGACACAATAGAAAATAGTTAGTCATTATCAGGAAAACAAGTAAATACCATGAGGAGAAGGTGGCCTGGGCAGGTTGGGCTGGTTCTCAGGGTGAGCCCCATCTGGGGCCCTTAGTTCCCACTTTCCCGACCTCGACCAGGGCTGGGCAGCAAGTCTGTGTTTGAACAGGGCTCTGGGTCATTGTGATACAGATGAATTTGATACCTACTAAGGATTAACCTGGATAACCTCAGAGTCTTTCAAGCAGGAAGTGTAAGAACTCGGTTGCCATAAACCTAAATAAGACACATTTCAGTGATATGTCCAAACTGGAAAGAACTTTAGAGGTGATTTGGTGATTGCCACGGTTAACATGGAAACAGTGACCCAGAGAAGGCTGCCCTTACCGAGGCCCCACACCACCTGATGGTCTAGCAGGGCACCAGGGCCAGCACAGCGTGGAGTCACAGCATCAGATGTGTAGGTGAGCGACGGGTCCTCCGTCTTCCTTTGCAGGCGGAACAGAGTGAGTGGAATGGGAGCCTGCTGGGTGTCTCAGCACCTAGGTTTTCATGGTGATGAGATTATGGCAATACTGTTTCAGTATTTTGAATCATTGTTTTGTTTGAAATCCAGATGAAATTTTAAGTCTGAAGAAGGAAATCAGAGGCCTGGTCCCTGCTTTTAGTGTCCAAAGAGGCCCTTGGTTTTCCCTGACTCTGTGTTTTCTCCTCCCACAGACGGGACTGTCTGGGAACCTGATCGTGCTATCTGTCCTGTACAAGGGAGGACTGCTGATGGGTGCTGCCCACATGACGGTGGGCGAGCTCTCTTCCTTCCTCATGTATGCCTTCTGGGTTGGACTGAGCATTGGAGGTACATAATTTAAGTGATTTGGGGATTTATGAATTAAAAATCAGGCTTTCATCTGTACAGACATTCCCTATGATGTTATTCCAACTGGGCTTTAAAAGAAAATGCAGTTATGAGAGTAGCCAGTGGGCCCTCTGGGACATTCAGGGTCTTTGTGGGCCTCCTGCAGCTCAGCATTGCTGGGAACCCTCTATCCCTGCTGTTTAAACAGCTGCCACTGCTCACAGATGCAGGGAGGCCAGGGTGGTGCTGAACATCTGTGGACACAGAAAATACAGTCCTGTGCTGGCGATAGTTATACTACTGGCAAATCACTGGGAAATAAAGCTCCTTTTGTACAAAGCTAACCATACTCAAAATGAACAATTAAAAATATCAACTTTAGAGGTACACAGTGATGCACGCCTGTAACGCCTGTAAGGCTCAGGAGACTGAAGCAGGTGGATTGCAAGTTCAAAGCCAGCTTCATCAACTTAGGAAAACCCTGTCTCTAAACAAAATAAGTAAAAAGAGATAGGGATGTGACTTAGTGGTTGGCTCAGTGGTTAAGAGCCCCTGGGTTCAATCTAAAGTATAATGTGTGTGTGTGTGTGTGTGTGTGTGTTTGTCTTTATATATATGTTTATATATATATCGACATATTTGCTTGACATATTATCAAGTGCATGAAACAGACTTGCTTGCTTTTGCCAAGACTCTCTCAGAGCTGGATGCCTGCTGTCCCAGCTGCTTAGATGCTGAGGCAGGAGAATCACTGGAGCCCAATCACTCAAGGCCATCCTGGGCAGTATAGGGAGACCCTGTCTCAAAAACAAAAAAGGAAGAAAAGGGAGAGAGGGTCTTTCAGGGTTTAGCTTTTGCTGTCCGTTCCTGGAAGGGGAAAAGCCTGTGTGAAGTCTGGAGTATTTTTTCTGCACCTCGCACAAGACCCCGGCCAGCCTGGCAGATGGCTGTGGGCCTTGTTTTCCTCCCAGCCTGTGGTGGAAAGGCCAGGCAAGTGACTGAGGTCTGGTTAAAAGATGCTGGTTCTGTGTTGTCAGTGGACCTGGTGTCTGACTTGAAGGTTTTGTTGTTTGAAAGCAAAGGCTTTTCTTCTGTCCTGCTCCACCACTGAACTGCACACCAATCCTTTTTTATTTTATTTTGAGGGCCATGCTAAGTTGTGCAGGCTGGCCTTGAACTTGTGATCCTCCTGCTTCAGCTTCCTGAGCAGCTGGGATGACAGACGTGGGCACCGCACCCTCCTGTGGTTCAGTTTTCAGAGTGCTTTGTGTACAGAGACTCCCTGACTGAGGGATGGGCTGTGTCCCTATAACCGACCAAAACTGGAAAACACCTAAAGTGGAAGTGCCTTCAGCACACCAGCCTCGGCTCGCTGCCCAGAAGCAAGGGGGGGTCAGGGAATGGTGAGGACGGTTTCACCTCCTGACTCAGAAGTGACAGATCTCACCTTAAAGTGCACCTCTGCAGGGCTCCCGTGGGATGGAGCTGCGGTGTCCTTCCTGACCATGCTGATGGATGCTTCTCTTCTGCAGGTCTGAGCTCTTTCTACTCAGAGCTGATGAAGGGCCTGGGTGCCGGTGGCCGGCTCTGGGAGCTCTTGGAGAGGCAGCCCCAGATGCCTATTGACGGTGGGTGTGAAATGGGCTGCTGTCTGCTGGGGGTGAGGCAGTCTGGCTTCTTAAGTCCAGCACATTACAAGGACATGGTCCCCATGCACAGCAGGGAAAGGTTCAGGTTTCCTCTGAGAGGGGATGAGGGAAGGACAGCTGCTACAGGCCACCATCCTTAGATGTGTGGACACTGACCTCCAAGAAGGGCCACAGCCAGTTTACCAAGCAGACCTGTGAGGGGTTGGGATGGGAGGAAGGGGCCAGACCTAACATTTAAAAGACTGTATTTCTTGGCACTTGGGGTGGGGTGAAGGACCTGGTACTGAGTGGCTGGAGCCTCCTCCTTGCTTGTGGGCAGCTTCCTGCAGCCCTGGGCCTGAGCCAGCTCATAGACTCAGCAGACTTGGCAGAGGTTGTGACCACTCTTCACCCTCATGGGCTCCTAGGCACTGTGGGGTGGGCAGGTCCAGCAAGATGGTGCTCTCCAGTGTGATGGCCCTGGACACACACCCCACAAGAGGCTAAGCCCTGTCTCCCACACCAGGGCAAGTGGCACTGGCAGAGCAGACCTCTGACTCCACTGTTGTGCAACACTCCCGTCATCGAGTATTTATTCAGGGTGACATGATGCCCTGCACCAGGAGAGTAGGCTGGGAGAGGCCAGTGGGTTTACATCAGACTGCTCAGAGGCTGGATCTCACTTGCACTGCTAGCCCAGCCAGGCTGGCCTCTATTACCCCATGACCACAGAAAAGCTGGACTCTTGGGCTGTGAGGTCAAATGAGCCTTTATACACGTGGTGCTATGTTTGCAGCAGGTGAGGGTGGCCGCATAGCCAGCCTTAGAGACAGGTCTGTACCTTCATTCCCCAGGAGTGCCCTCTAAGTGGCTGCAGGGGTCCCCCTATCCCCTGTCCATCTTCAGACAAGTTTGGTTTTTGCCTTAAGTACCTGGGTCCCTCCTGTGTTTCAGAAGGGGTCACTCTACGTGAGAAGAGCTTCCAAGGCGCCTTGCAGTTTAAGAACGTGCACTTTGCCTACCCGGCTCGTCCAGAGGTGCCCATATTTCAGGATTTCAGCCTTTCCATCCCGGCAGGATCTGTCACAGCTCTGGTTGGCCCAAGTGGCTCTGGCAAATCCACTGTGGTCTCGCTTCTACTGCGACTGTATGACCCCCTTTCTGGTAAGTGTCGCTACGCTGTGGGCAAGGGCACCCTCCTGACTGCAGAGCTTTGGGTGCTCTACGCCAGCTGCTCCTTCCAGGCAGGAGCTCCCCAAAGTGGGAGGCATCCTCAGTTTTCCAGGTTTTGTGTTCTGCCTCTTCAAGCCCAGAACTCCAACTCTCCCTGAGAGGACAAGAGTGAGGCAGGTGAGGCAGTGCTTGTAGCCAGGGGGCTTGTGGGCTGCTGGGCACCCCTCACAGCATGAGGTGCTGTGCACAGGAGCCCTGGGAGCCCCAGAGACGCTCCTTCCTGGGGGGTGGTTCATTGGTCATGAGAAAACACTTAGTCTGGCCATTTGGCCATCAGTGATTCATGTCCATGTGATAGCCCTGTTGAAATGTTTTGAACTAGGAGGGATTTTCGTAATGGATTTTTGGGTTTGTTGGTTTGTTTTTTGGTACCAGGGGCACTTAACCACTGAGCCACATCCCCAGCCCTTTTCTGGTTTTTTTTTTTTTTTTTTTTATTTAGAGACAGGGTCTCACTGAGTTTCTTAGGGCTTCACTACGTTGCTGAGATTGGCTTTGAACTTGTGTTCCTCCTGTGTCGGCCTCCTGAGCTGCAGGGATTCCAGGTGTACACCACCGTGCCCAGCCGTCATTCTAGTTTTAATTTTACTTTTAACTGAATTACATCTTTTTTTTAATACTTATTTTTTAGTTGTAGTTGGACACAATACCTTTGTTTTATTTATTTATTTTTATGTGGTTCTGAGGATCGAACCCAGGGACTCGCACACCCTAGGTGAGCTCTCTACCACTGAGCCACAACCCCAGCCCCAAATTACAACGTCCTTAAGAGCAAAAGCACATGATTTCACTTTTTTACATCCTTCCCATAGTAGATAATCAGTGTGTATCTCTTTGGATTTGGATTGAAAAAAACGGTTGTCAGCAAGTAAACGACTGTCAGTGACCAGAGTTGTGACTTCATGAAGAATTTCTCATCTAGCACTCTTGTTTAAGCCACATGCAGCTGGTGAGGTGTTGTGCACACTTGGCTTGCAGATTCTAAGCCAGGAAGCCCCATCTGCTCTGGATGGGGGACCATTCTGTTGCCTCCAGAGTTGCTGTTGGGATTCACTCTTGACATGCTGTGAAGTTCTGAGTTTAAATAATCATAGCCAGGTAGATACAAATCAAATCAAAATAAGTTGAGTCTGGTTTCTTGCAGAGCAAATAGATCAAGGTCGAGGGAGCTGTACCTGAGCCTCTTCCGTCTTCTATGGGCATAGCACCCGTGGGTTTCCAGCTGGCCCTCAGTGTCTCAGCTCTGCTGGAGGGGAGCTGCACTCCTGGTGTTATTAGCATTCAGCCCTGAGTACCCTTAGCATGCAGAAGTAGCAGAAGTACTTCTGCTAGTGAGGACTGTGAAGTTGGCCTCTGATCAATTAAGATCTCTGCCGTGGCGTGGGTCAGATTCTCAGTGGCAGATAATAGATTCCCCTTGATTAGGTTCATGCACAGGGGATATTTTAAGGAGTAATAAAAGCTCAAAAATCACTGGCTGGGCTAACAAAGCAGATTCCAAGTTGAAGTTCCAAGGCACTCTGAGATTTTGCCTCAAAACAGGTGGAGCTTGAGGCCACTGCTGGTGCTGGCCCATCAGGTGGCTGTGGGATCTGGCACCACCATCAGCACTGCACCCCTGGGAGGGCCAGTAGTGGACCAGCTCACCTCTCCCTTGTAGCTCTCTTTTGACTCAAAGCCCTTCCCAGGGCATCTGATGGTGGGGCCTCAAGTCACCAGGAGGAGGAGCTTGGACAGGCTGAGGAAGGTGATAGGGCCTGGCTCTTCGCCCAGGCTGAGGGAGCCCTAGACTTGGCCTCCCAGAAGGCCCCTCTTGGCTCTGAAATTCACATGCTGGCTTGGGCTCCACTTGGGGAGGGTCATTAAGCCTCACAAACCTGTATTTGGAACTCTCTTACGGGCACAGTCTGTGTTCCTGTTAGCCGTTGGCTACCTGGCGCTCAGCGACTTTGTTCTCCCCCTACAAGGAGCTGTTCTTCTCGATGGCCATGACATCCGCCAGCTGAACCCAGCCTGGCTGAGATCCAAGATTGGGACCGTCAGTCAGGTGAGATGAGGCCTCTGTCCATCATTCACCCTTTGAAGCTGCTTCTGCCCCTTGCTTTTTATGGAACTTGCACCTCTCAAGAGAGAAGGACACAAATTTCTAGGTGTGTCAGGCTCATCCTGTGACAGGTTTTTGCCTCATCCCAAGCGTCAACCAGTTGAAGCAGTGGCTTCATCCAGGACTGGGGCTTGTGCTTCTCTGAACACGTGTAGTCTAGAGGATGCAGGGAGACTGCAGATGCTTTCAGGGGCTTGTCCCAAGCCCCATGTCACCACCGACCATTCTCTTGCTTTGCGCGACAGGTTTTTGGAATAAGCAAGCAAAGGCCCTTTGTGAGAAGTTCAGGTTTCAGAGTTCTGGGCTGGGGCAGGTGGCGCAGTGACGGGTGCTGAGCAGAGTGTCCGCTGGGCACTGGAGAGAAGCTGCAGGCAGCCTTTCTTTAGGAACCCTTCACATGCTGCCACCCAGGAGGAGGAGGAGCCCCTCTACCCTCAGTGGGAGTCATCTGGGAGGGGATGGTCGGGGGTCCTCCAGTCCTGAGGGAGGTGCTCAGGTGTATGTGGTCTGGCCCCTGTGGGCTCTTGCTGCAGGGTCTCATCTGCAGCATGGTGAGGATAGCAGGTGCTCAGATCAGGCCCCTTTGTTATCACTGTTTACCGGTGATAATGGTGACAGGCCTTGCTTCCCCGAATGCTGAAGTATAACACCAGAGAAGCACACCGAGGCAAGTTTAGAGTGGAAAGTAGAAGTTTTATTAAAGGACAGCAGAAAAGACTTCTCCCGGAGGAATAAGAGGACCCAAAAGGCAGAATCCGTGGAAGGGGAAGGTCTTCCCTTTTTTATAGCTAACGTCTTCTTTCAGCTTTCCCACACTCATGTCTTTTGTTTCCCTTTATCTTGCAGTGATAGAATGCATGTGGGAAGGCCCAAAAGGTGGGAGATAGGTGGGCTAAAGGAGTAATCTGGGTAGGAAAGGCCTGGGGCAGCTTTTGATTAGCATTTCCCTCTTTGCTGGGTGCTGCTTTATAAACATTTCCTTAGGATGGGCTCCAGGCCTTGGGGACATTAACATTTCAATTTCCCCAAGTGCTGCTCTGGTTTCCTGGACTCCATTCTCTATAATGACCTCCATTTTATTTATCTTATTCATTATTAGATTTACCTAACTACACTAACTACCTATCTTTAAATGTGGCTTCACTTTCAGGGTAAGACAGGGGCATGCTGGGTGGCCGGAGCAGGAGGACGACATAGAGCCACAGCAGAGTCCGTCCTCTGTGCCGAGGGCCCATCTTGGGTCTAGTGCTGTGCAGAGTCCAAGGCACTGAGGTGCGATTGAATTCTGCCTTGGAATTTGTGACACACATGCTTTGTTCCAATTTGTAGGAGCCAGTTTTATTTTCTTGCTCTATTGCTGAGAACATCGCTTACGGTGCGGACTGCCCTTCCTCCGTGACAGCAGAGCAGGTGGAGAGGGCTGCAGAGGCCGCCAACGCTGCAGCCTTCATCCGGAAGTTCCCCCGAGCTTTCCACACAGTGGTGGGGGAGAAGGGTGTGCTGCTGTCAGGTGGGCCTGTTGTCTCCTGTTTGCCATCTCCCCCCCACCCCAACCGTGTGCTGGCCTCACAGGAGCGCCCTGCTCCCTGGCCTCAGACTGCACCACTGCAGCAGGCCAGGTCCTGTCCTCAAAGCCACGGCAGAGCCTCGCGGCCTCTGACCTCTGTGGATGGCTTCGCAGTCTCCCTCTCCTAATGCCCAGAGCTGTCCCAACAGCTGCTGGGCAGTACTCAGCTCCTCAAGGTTTCTTCTCTTCTGAAATGTTTTGTGACCGGAAACTCAGAGACCTGGAGAGCAAGGCATCTGTGAGGGGCAGGTGATCCGCCCGCCCGCGGAGGCAGAGATGCTCTCCAGCAAAGCCAGCAGGGGAATTGTTCTTACTGCCCAGCTTGTGCCCTGTGGGTGAGACCAGGAGCCAAGGAACTCTCCATAAAGACTGCAGAGTAAATGATTTAGGTTTTATTCACATCACCTCCATTACGTGTTCTTCTGCTTTTTTTTTTCTTTTTTTTTGAACAACCCTTTTAAAATGGGAAAAGCACTCAACTGAGGGCTGTGCAAAATCAGGCGCTGGTGAAGACCTGACCTGAAGTCTTGTCTAATGGCCCCATAGCCTCCGGGCACAGCTGGCCCATCCCAGCAGGCCCAAACCTGTCCAGCAGCCCTAGGCACATTGGCACCACAATCCAGGAGAGAAAGAGGACTTATTTTATGTTGTTTTAGGATGCAGAAGTAGGACCAGTGAGTAGAACTGAAAAATAAATAAATTTTTGGTTAAACAGATTTTTTTTTTTCCTTATTACAAATTTCCAAGAATGTCTCCTCCACAGATACTGAGCTCCCTGCTGAGAGCTCCCACTCCTCCTGGGCATGCAGCCTCAACCTAGACCAAGGCAGTTGTCCTGTCTACCTCTAAATATCTCTTTGAGCCACAGAGAACTAAAAACAAAAGTTGAGTGTACCTTGCATGACTTCTTTAACCAAAGGCAGAGGGTAAACAGATGTTTTTGGTGGGTGTTGGACATTCCAGTGTAGACTCACACCTTGCTTGGTGACAGTGACCAGCTGCCATCTCTGAAACCTGTCCTTGGCTAGTTTAAACCAGTTTGAGCTGCTGCCCAGCAGGGCGGTGTGCAGCTCGGACCCAAGCGTGGGTCACCTGTTCCCGGTGGACCAGCTTCTGCATATTCTTCCTTCCATCAGGATCCTAAGCTCCACCTTATAATATAGAATAGACACCTGGCTCCAGCCCACCTGTGTCCTGAGAGGACCCGGCACTCGGTCCTTGAGCACTGGCTGCACCCAGAATGCCTCTAAGCTCAGGTAGCCCATGGCCGGCTACTCCAGGCCCTGGACAAGGGAGGGCCATCCTGGTGTCCTCGTGTGCTAGCTTCTGTGAGGGGCCAGGTCCAGGGTACCATGGTGCCAGCTACAGGTGGTAAACTTCTGGGTAAGTCAGCCAGAAAGGAGTGCCCTTATCACAAAGCCAGTGCCACATGGGGAGGTGAGTGTCCTGAGGCTGGGGAGGAGTCCTGGAGGAAGGGAGGGGCAGGAGGTGGAAGGGCAGGGGGCCACCACAGACTCCACGTCAAGAGGAGACTACACACATGGGAGGAATGAGGACCAGTGTCAACTGGGGCAGTGGGTGCAGGTGCCCTTTATTCTGGATGGTTCTAATGCTGTCCAGAAGCCTCCCATATCTGAGCTCCTAACCCGCTGTGCGGGAGTGCGTGGGAGGAGGCAGAGCCCTCTACACTGTGTTGGTCAAGCCTAGGCTTGCACCTGCTGATCCTGAGACCTGGTCCTGCCTGTGCCTCAGTCTTTCCTCTATAAAGTGGGAGTAAGTTGGAATCCACCTCGTAGGGTAACGCACTTAGAAGACACCTACTGGGTGGGGCATCCTCAGTGCAGCTGTGATAAAAGTTGTTGCTGTTAATTCTGAGATTGATGGGAGGACAAGCTATTGTAAAAACAGGTCTCTGTTCTCCCCTCTATCCCAGCTGTGGCCAGCTGGAGAAGGTACCTCCACATGGCCACATGCCTCATCAGGAAAGCGAATTCCTAGAGTTTTTGTTAAGTCTTTTTGTTTGTTTTTGTCAGGTGGACAGAAACAGCGGATTGCAATTGCCCGGGCCCTGCTTAAGGTAAGCGTTAAGCCTCTCGACTGGGTTTGGTGCCATTTTCACTTGGACACCTTGCAGTTTGTAATTTTCCGTCTTCCTTATTTTTGTGTTTGGCGGGGTGGCGGGGTGGGGGGGTGGGGGGGTGGGTATGTGGTCGACCATTCTTGTGGAAGGTAAGCAGAGCCCCAGGGGCCATGTTCAAGTTCAACAAGGGCTTCTCAGGGCCGGGAGCTGTCGGGAGCTGTCATGACTGTGGGCTGTCGGGGAAAGCAGAGCAAGCAAGTCACATCCTCAAGAACCATCTGCACACAGTGATCCCAACTCAGGGCACCCAGCATACACTGGGCCTGCATACCCACTGCTGGTTGAGCAGTGCAGAGCTGAGATCCAGGAAACCTCAGGACCGGGAAGGGCCTCACTGGCTGCAGGTCAGAGAGCTGTCCTGGAGGACAGCCCCTGCCACAAGTTCCCCTCAGGGATACGGCGAGTTAAAGACAGCTTCACTGAAGCATAATCTCCATAGCATAAACTTCACCCATCTTGGCTGTACTTCTCAGTGACTGTTAGTAAATTTAGAGTTGGCTGAAGACAGAACCCACAATCAACTGTAGAACCCTTCATTGCCCTGGTGGTGGGCACCTCCGCTGTGCATGCCCCTCCTCTCTCCCTCCACTGACCCAGCTGGCCACTGATTTTGCCCTGTCCTCCGTACTTCTATCCTGGTAAAGTTGCCCTTGGGTGGAACCACGCCAGTGTGGTCCCTTCCTGAGCATGATGCTCCAAGGTCCACCCACACTGTGGCACATATCAAATGTGGTTCTTATTACTGAAAACTTGTATTTTCCACTAAAACCATATTTTTTCTTTTCTTTTAAATATTTTCCCTTCAGAATCCTAGAATTCTTCTCCTGGATGAAGCGACCAGGTGAGAGAGTGTGCACGTATGGGGCTGTGTTCTGCACGAGACTGTACTGAGGAGTGTCCCACTGTAGGAGGGACTCTGCACAGTGAAGTGAGGCAGTCTGGGCCAGTAATGGCAGTCAAGAGGCAGGGGACAGAGGGGCACCAGTGGGCACCCAGCTTGGGAGGGGCCCTGATCCCTGCAGTTGGCACCTGAACAGGGCCTTCTGCTTGGATGTCAGCGTGGTTCTAGAGGTGGGAGATCCTGCCTGCCTCCTTTCTGTCCCTGCTCCCAGCAGGGAAATTTGTGTCAGAATAGAAGTTCACCATAAGGAGGGCCAGAGCGTGGCCCTGGGGCTGTGCACCGCTGTGGCACTAAAGTCTGTGCTCCTATGATCCTGACCAGTGCGCTGGATGCCGAAAATGAGTACCTCGTGCAAGAGGCTCTGGATCGACTGATGGAGGGAAGGACAGTGTTAGTCATTGCCCACCGCCTGTCCACCATCAAGAATGCAGACGTTGTCGCTGTTCTTGACCGTGGAAAAATCACCGAACACGGGAAGCATGAAGAACTACTTTCAAGACCAGACGGGTTGTACAGAAGACTAATGAGCAAACAGAGCGTTCCCTCAGCGTGAAGAAGCAGCTCCCCATGCACTGAGCCTGGGAGGCTTTAAAGCATGGTGGCACTGCAGGAAAAACGCAGACTAATGAAATCCACAAGTCACACTTCAAGATACTTGAAATATGTCTATTTTTCCAAAGTATGTAAAAATACTGTTTTGAACCATCCCTGTTCTCAAGACCTTTTAGCAGTGTGACTTTCTAAGTGTCCCTGCACCAGGGCCTTCTCCTGGTTCTGCGCTCCCCTTCATGGAGAGGAGCACAGTGTTGCCCAGCACCTCGTGCTCTTTGCCTGACCTCGCATATTCAAACTATTGTGGAGAGAGCTCTTGAAATGGAATTATAAACAAGGAGCAAGGACTCTGGACCAGCTTAGCACACATTGTCACCCAGTGTCCTCTCACTGGGTAGTAGAAGTGCCACTCGGCCTTTACGGAAGCGAAGCTGCCAGGCAGAGCGTCAGGTAGAGGAAGGGGACATCCACGCTACCTATGCCTTGGAGTTCCTGCAGTGTGATCCTGGAGTGCGACATCCAGACGTGCACAGTCTCCAACAACCTGGCACTTGGAAGCCTGACTGGTTTGAACAAGGGAAGGAAGCGGTTCCTCCAACCGGAAAGCTTTGTGTTCTCTCTTCCCATGTCTGTTTCTGTGAGTACTCTTGGTGCAAGGCACAAATTGCTGGGTATCACAAGAAAGAGGGATGAACATGAACTTTACATGTCAGTTGTATGAGGCATGCATTTGAAAATTATCTGTCAAAAGCTTATAATTCCCAGAGAAACTAAAGTTTATAGTTTTTATAATACTTTTGAATTTTCATGAATATAGCTAAAATCTGAATAACATGGCTATCATTTTCAGCCATAAGATATTTGAAGAAAATTTGAAAGCCTTCCTGCTCCACAGAGCCCAGAACCTTCTGTCGTGGCACTGTCCTGAGGAGGACACCAGTGGCCCCCCTTCTTGTATTTATGAGAATAGTCTTGTTCACCTGAATGACTCAGTCGCTAAAACAAAGTGACAGCTCCCGAGTTTGCCATGTTCTGATTCGTGCTGGTAACTTGCTGTTGCCTCTAGAAAAAGTGCTTTTTCTACATCGATGATGCCAAAGCCTGAGTTGCTATGCTGGCGTGGACTGGAAGCCCCTGGTGCCCAGATGGCCTCCCTCCAGATCCTCCTGGAAGAAGCAGCCCGTTTCAGTAGAGGCTTAGAGTGTTATGTTTTTTTCGACAAAAGGGAATTTAATAATGAATAAAATGATTCAGTGAATGAGTGAATGTAGTGTTATTTGAATTGATAAACAATACATCTGTGGTGATCATTTTAACAAGCTTTGTGTGTATTCTCTATAGTTTGCTATTTCAACATTGTTCTCAGAAGGCAGACAAAACACAAGTCAAGTGTGGGAGAGTTTCTTTTATTCCTCACAGGGATTTACAAGATTGAGTTTGATAATTATTTTTGCTTTCTAATATAAAATGTTTGATTTTTTTACTTTTTTTTTTTTTTTTTGTACTGGGGATTGAACCCAGGGGTGTGCTACCACTGAGCCACATCCCCAGCCTTTTTAATTTTTTATTTTGAGACAGGGTCTCACTAAGCCTCTGAGGCTGGCTTCAAACTTGCCATCCTCCTGCCTCAGTCTCCCGAGTCACTGTGAACACAAGTGTGTGCTGCTGTACCCATATCTTGTTCATGTCTTTAAGTAATATTTTATATCATATATTAAAATGTATAGTGAACTTTATCTGTGTTTGTCACTTGCACAACTTTATACCATATTAGGTTTCTTTTTTAAATATTTTTTAATTGTTGATGGACCTTTATTTTATTTATTTGTATGTGGTGTTGAGAATCAAACCCAGTGCCTCATGCATGCTAGCCATGTGCTCTACCACTGAGCTACAACCTCAGCCCCACCATATTAGGTTTCTTACTAGAATTTGTTATAGAGATTCAGGAATAAATAAAAATATAACAAATACAGAAAAGCAAGTCATAATGAGAATTGAAAACACATATAATTCCATTCCTTCCTTCCTTACTGAAGACTGTCATCACTTCTGTGCTACTTATAAATATTTTGTCTAGTTGTTTCAGATCAGGGAGTGTCCTGTGCCCCACCAGGACTTGGGGACACAGTGAGGACAGAGTCAGCAGCTCTGCCCTCAGGGGTCTCCAGCCTAGCAGGGCAGGGCAGGCAAACCTAGTATGAGAACAGCCACCTGTCACACAGAGTTGTGACCAGCCCTTACCTTGGTACCACGTCATCCCCCACCCCACCCCCAGGGTGTTTGCACTGCACCAGAGTTGATGCTCTGGCAGTCCTGCAGGTGACACCAATACCTATTGTCCCACTTCCCAGGTCAGGAAATTAGCATGGCAGGCTGTAAATTAATGCAGCAGCATCGCCACTGTGTGTAGCCTCCGGCAGAGTGGGGAAGGACGATGGCAGGAAGCAGCAGGAGCTGGTGGTGTATGCATGGAAGCTGCTGAACACCTTGCCTCTCACCTCCTTGCAGAACCCCTGGAGGACATGGAACCAGTTTAGAAAATAAGCAGAAAAGAAAAGGAATGTCACCTGAGATTTGACAGGTGTGTTAGAGTCTCATCCTGCTGAGTTTGCATATTGTTGTATGACCTCTGGGGCTCATCTCTGTGGGCAGGGTCTCCCCTGACCTTGGACCCTGCAGGTTCCCAGGAAATAATCACAATTTATACCATCATAAAATAGGCCAAACCCCTGGAAGTACACTCCTTATAAAGCAGGGCTCCATTTGGGGAAATCTTTTTGTTCCATAAAAATGCCAAGCTGATAAAAAAAAAATAAATAAAAACAAATATAAATGTTATAAAACAGTTAAATAAATAAATGAAAGATGTATGAAAACTACACTATCAGTATTCCTTTGGGGTGTTCTTCTGAACCTGAGGCATTGTGGAGTTTGCTTAACAAACCCTGAGCATCCACTTGATTAGATCCTCTGCCTGCACCTACCTCACAAAGCTAGTGCAGCGGTCAGCAAGCTACCTGGCTACCTATGTATATATGGACTGCAAGCTAAGGGTGGTTTTTAGTTTTGAATGGTTGAAAAAAATCAAAAGAATAATATTTCAAAATACATTAAACATATAAATTCAAATTTCAGTGGCAGTAAATAGAGTCTTGTTGGAACACAGCCATTCTTGTCCATGTAGGAAAATCCATGGCTGCTTTTCCCTACAATGCAGAGGGGAGTGGCTGTGAGACCCCTAGGCCTGAAGGCTGGATGAGAAGTCTGCTGACCCCATACCGAGCGAAAAATATGTGTTCTGCACTTCTGGAAGAACTTCTGTGCTGAAATTCAGCCATTTGGTGTCATTACAATCTGTTGAGGGTCAGGTGAATGCCTGGAAGTGTCTGGGTATGGATGATTTCCTGCCTTTCCATTCCAGCATCTGTTACCAGCCTGCTGAGAATGGGACCTGACAGTTCTACCCACCTGGCTGCTTCTGGCTGCCGACTGCAGTGATCAGTACCACATAAATCAATGTTTGGTCTTCACTGCAAGGGCACAGAGCCGAGGCCCATCTGCATGGGACCTGAGGCTGGGCCCTCACACAGAGCTGTCTGAACCAGCGAGGCATATTTCTCTTAACAAAAGTGGTGTAGACTACACGTGGAGGAAAAGACGCATGTTTTCTTCCCATTCTAGGTTCATGGCTGAGGCCCCTATAACAAAAGACAGATTTATAAGAGGAAAGCATACACTTTTTTTTATATTTATTGTTCAGTTTTCGGCAGACACAACATCTTTATTTTTTTTTTTTTTTAATTTTATGTGGTGCTGAGGATCGAACCCAGCGCCCTGCGTATGCCAGGCAAGCGCATTACCGCTTGAGCCACATCCCCAGCCCCATACACTTTTATTTAATGCAAACTTTCTGTGATCTGGGAGCCTCAGGAAATGATCCAAAGACATGGGAACTCATACGTTCTTTTTTTTTTTTTTTCTTAGTTGTCAATGGACCTTTGTTTTATTTATATGTGGTGCTGAGAATCAAACCCAGTGCCTCACAGCTGCCAGGCAAGCTCTCTACCACTGAGCCACAACCCCAGCTCCATCATGCATTCTAATGCTTGGTTTTGATGAGCATGCTGGACAAAGGAACGCAATACAGTAGGGACTACGGGGGTTCTAGACAAGGCCTCTTGGTCCAGGGTCTTCCTTGTGTCCCTGTCTTCAGGGATATGGATGATCCTTTCCTCCAAGTACAGGAGGGCACCTCTTACAAGAGGGTCCTATGACCTGCCTCAGGGATAAGGGCAGGTCAGAGTGACTGTCCTTCTCTTGCTTGATGTCTTCTTTTTTTGGTACTGGGAACTGAACTCAGGTGCTTAACCACTGAGCCACATCCTTGGTCCTTTTTATTTTTTGTTGTGAGACAGAGTCTTGCTAAGTTGATTGGGGCCTTGCCTAGTTGCTGAGGCTGGCCCTGAACTTGGCAATCCTCCTGCCACAGCATCCCAAGCAGGGATTGCAGGCATGGCCACTGTGCCCAGCGCTTGCTGTCTTCTTAAGTGCCAAGGTGACATATTTTGGGTAGTGTGTCCTGAACCCCATCACTGCACAAACTGTTCTTTATTGTGTATATTTAAGGTGTGCAGCACGTTTTGATACACATACATGTGGTGAAATGATGGGTGAAATAGGGTCAAGCAAATCACTGTCACCTTCCATAGGTATGTTGCAAGAGCACCTAAAACCTCTTGGCATATTTTCAGTGTTTCCTAGTAAGACCCAGAGAAAGAGGAAATACTTGAAAGCAAGCTGCAAAGCCAGGGGGGAAACTCAGGAGGGAGAAAGTAGAACAAGGTGAGGCCAGGTTCCACACTGCACAGATGGTTTTGGGGCTCTTATCTCCAAAAAACCAATTTACTTAAGTGTCAGAATGGCCTTAGGCCTGAGCCTAAGCAACTCCATTTTAAAAACTCCAGTTTGAAACCTGCAATTTCACCAGGCACACCCAAGAGCCCTCCACTATGGCCACAAACAAGTTACTTCCCCTCACCCTGATAAACAGAGTGAAGCCCCTGGCAGGCTATCCTTGCCTGATAAGAGGAAACCAAGAAGATCAAGGTGGAGACCACCAGACCAAAAGTTTCTGATCCCAGGTTAAATGATGTCCTTGAAATATGGTGGTAGCTGATAAGGAGTGAAAGGGGGGGGGTCAAACCCCGCCCCCTAAATTTAGTATAAATAATTATAGAGCAAATGAACAGGGATTCAAGCCAGTTGAAACAAGCATGCATTCGAGCTGGAGAGCCTGATGAGGACCTGATACCCCATCACTTGTCATCATTTCCTGAGCCTTTGCGTGATCCTCATCGCCCTCAAACTCTACAGCCTCATCTGGACTTGATGAGAGCTGCAACTTCTCCCTACTGATTCTTTCTCTCCTTTCTCCTGAATGGCCAACCACTCCATGCCAGGAAAAATCTGCCTTGGTTCCGGACCTGATCACTGCGGTCTGAGTGAGTGTGCATCTGCTGGACATAAAGCCTAAGGCTTAAGACTTTTGAACTTAGCATGCAGAGGAAGTGTCTGTCATTAGCCTATCATGATTAAGTGTGTTTTGCAGGGCTTAGAATTAATCTAGAATTGTTTGCTGTGAATTGATTATGTCTATTACAGTGCTTAGCATTAGGAATTGTCGTTTTCTTCATTAAGAACTATAGAGTGAAATTATATTGAGTGAATAAAGCATTGAAAGGGGAAGAAGCGCGTGGACATTCTTTATTTCTCCCCTTAATTGCATACGTTGCAATTTTGCCTCCTCGCAACATTAAGCCATTCCCTTATTTCAACAAAGGCATGATGAACGTCTACTAAATATCTGTTGGGTGTGACGAATATCTTCTGTCAAAACACTTGAACGTAGCTACTTGCGAGTTAGCTATGAACACAAAACTATTATGCCGAATAAAAATACCAGTCTGTATACAGGAGCATAAAGGGACATCCAGGTTTCCCTGGGACGCAGCACTGAAAGAAGGGGCTGGTGGGCCAAGGTAAGAGGGAAGGCAACCCCGGAACAGAAACGTGAAGGGCAGAGTGTTTCAAGTTCTCGGAAGGTGAGGGGGGAATGGTGGATGGACAGGCGTGGCAAAGCCGGCCAGTCAGATCAAAGCAGCTCAACAACCTGCGGGCGGTGATCAGCCACTAGAGTCCGCCGCAGAGAGTAGCGCAGGCCTGCCGCAGTGCACCTGCCGGCATGTGGAGGGCCGGAGGGA